TCTCTGCTTCAAATGGGGATCCCTGCCTTTTTTTTGCTTTTTTTTTTTTGGACTGTACAGACATGCTTAAAACCATACCAAGGCTTCAGATAACAAGGCAGGCCTGCGTTAGCCTTGAATATAAATCGAATATAGCCTGTCACAAAGAAGAAATAACAGTCCCTTCCGAAGCCTGAGGCACCTGCAGCTCTTCTGACCAGCTCTGCCAAGCCTTGTTTTTGTCAACGCACCACCCTACCTCTTGGACAAAGTGTGAGGGCTCTGCTGCCCACCAGGAGAGATGGACAAAGTCTGTTTGTCCAGAAACTTGGCAGAAGGTTCGGGTGAAGCAGCCTCAAAACAAAGGCACATTCTGAGATCCTGGTGGCGTTTGTCAGAGGAACAGAGCTTAGAGGCAACAGGCAAACTGTTTGGCGTGGGGCAGCTGATAAACAAACAGGGAAGCAAATTCAGGCCAGAGCTAGGGAAAGCCCCTCAGTCTCCTTTATTTGTTCTCTTTCTGAAGCACTGACTGGAAATAAAAGTCTGTTGGTACTGGCTGGAGGCAGAGGTCCCCACTTTATCCCCTTTGGAATCTGCCAGAGGGCAGGTCTGGGTTGTGAACTTGGTTAATATTCAGGCTGTCCCAACAGCCAAGTTGCCAGTCTCACACTAGCCAGCAGTATTCCAGGGCAGCCTGCAGGCCTGATGGAAAGATAACAGCCTAAACTCTTCACCTTTGGCAGAGCCCACCCAGGCCCCAAAAGAGGTACATCTCTATGAGGTGCCACATGGAGTCCCATGTAGTTGTCAGTCAGATGCCAAGCTCGGTCTGTCTCATCGTTCCCGCCTTCGCTGCTCCTAGTGCCCCCCATAAGCACCCTGTTAGCAGAGGATAAGGCTCCCTTGTTCCTATTTCATACCTTTGGGTTGTGGGTGGAGAATCAATGTGTCCTGTTCTGTCCAAGCCCTGACCCCAGGTCCCAAGAAAGACAGCACAAGGCTAGTGCCTCCAGAGGCCCAGGCCCTTTGTTGGACGTTCTATCATGGTGAAGGGCATAGCTGCCTGCAGCTCCACCCATGAGTTCCTAGAGGAAGGAAACTACCTTATACACCTATACACATAGGCAGACGCACCCACACAGTTCCCAACTCAGACACCAGGTTCCCGCCTCCTGGCATTCTCTAAAAGGCATTTTCACAGCAGAACATGCCATCCTTGGGTCCCTGGCTGACCCGTCTTCCCTGTGAAAGGGTCAGGGGGTTGGCTCAGGTGGGCTTCTCTGTCCCAAAGGGTATGCCCATCAGGAGATCCCTTCAGAGGTATAAAGCAGAGACAATCTGAGGGTGGTCCCTCTACCTGTATGGTGCCAGAGAGATGCAGAGAACTTACTCAGGGCCTCTGCGCTTGATCTTGTTGGGGAGCTGAGACCATTTCTCCCCCTGGCACAGTAGATTCAGACCTGTGTCCTATTCTCTGGGCCCTAGAATTCCACCCTGGGAAAGGGGCTCTGCCTCCAGCAAGTCTCATCACCCATTATACTGGCTGCAACCTGGACATTAGAACAGCTCCCACAATGCCCATGGTGCGCAGCCAGAGGTGATGAGGTCTTGCCCTTTCCACTCCTCATCCACCCACCTATGATGCCCATTTTGCTGGTGCTATGGGATATAGCATGGCACATGATCTCATCGAATCCTCCCAACAACTTGGATAAGCTGGACATTCTTACGATTCTCATTTTTAACAACTGTAATAAAATTCACACAACATAAAATATACCATCTCAACAATTTTTAAGTGTACAGTTCAGTAGAGTTAAATATATTCACATTATCATGCAACCAATCTCCAGAACTCTTTTCATCTTGCAAAATGAGACTCTATGTCTATTAAATAACTCCCTGTTTCCCTCTCCTCCCAGCCCTTGGCAACTACCATTCTACTTTCTGTTTCTATGAGCTTGACTACTCTTCATATCTCATATAAGTGAAATCATACAGTTTCTGTCTTTTTTTTTGTGGTACGCGGACCTCTCACTGTTGTGGCCTCTCCCATTGCGGAGCACAGGCTCCGGACGTGCAGGCTCAGCGGCCATGGCTCACGGGCCCAGCCGCTCCGCGGCATGTGGGATCTTCCTGGACCAGGGCACGAACCCGTGTCCCCTGCATCAGCAGGCGGACTCTCAACCACTGCGCCACCAGGGAAGCCCCAGTTTCTGTCTTTTTGTGTCTGGCTTATTTCACCTGGCATAATGTTCTCAAGTTTCATTCATGTTGTAGCATTGTGTCAGCATTTCCTTCCTTTTTAAGGCTGAATACTATTCCACTGTATGTATATACCACATTTTATTTATCCACTCATCTGTTGCTGGACATTTGAGTTGCTTTTACCTCTTTGGCTATTGTGAATAATACTGCCACGAACATGGGTATACAAATATTTCAAGATCCTCCTTTCAATTCTTTTGAATATACACCCAGAAGTGATATTGCTGGATCATACGATAATTCTATTTTTAATTTATTGAGTCTGCCACACTGTTTTCTATGGTGGCTGCACCATTTTACATTTTGTGCATGAGGGTTCCAAATTCTCCACATCTTTGTTTGTTATTTTTCTGTTTTGTTTGTTTTTAATAGCAGCCAACCTAATGGATGTGAGGTGACATCTCATTGTGGTTTTGATTTACATTTCCTTAATGATTAATGATGTTGAGCATCTTTTCATTTGCTTGTGTCCCCTTTTATAGATAAGGAAATTGAGGCATTGATTGAGCAGTGATGCAACCTATTTAAGTCAGCCCAGTGCTTGGGGGTGGGGTCAGAACAGACCCACCTGTCTGACTCCAGAGTTCCTCCTTGTGTCACCACCTTTCTAGGCAGAACCACCTCCCCCCTACTCACTTTCATGCTTCTCCCCTCCTTCCTCCCAACCATTAGTGCTCCTTTGCCTTTTATTTTACTCCCAGCACCCAAAAAGGTAGCAAGGAAGGGAAAGGCTGCTGAAAAAAGCAAATCCTGGTGCATGTGTGTGAGTGTGGGATGATGTGCATCCCCAGAGGTGTCCACAGGCCCTTGTGAGCAGGGTACAACAGGGATAGCTATGGACTTGTAAGCCAGCAGCTACCTACCCCTCACACCCTGAGGTGAACAAAACCAGTAAAGAAGGGGAAAGAGACAGGTCAACCCAGCTGTCAAGGAGGGCTGCAGCCAGTAGGGCCAGCTCCAGCTCAGGTGCTGACCACACTTCTAGGAACTAAGGTGGGGTGAGCTGGCCCCTACTTTTGGATCCCTCAGGATCAGGCTGTGGGCAGAGGGTGGGTAAGCACTAGGAGCCCCTGCTAGGGGATCAAAGCCAGAGAAGCACGGCCACCTCAGGGCCCAAGGTAGGCATGGAACCAATGCTGGAGGAATCCAGAGGCGCTCCATAGGCTGAGCCCACTTTCTACTGGTCTTATAGACTTAAGAGCCACCACTCCCAGCTGGCCACCCATCTCTTGCCAAGGCAACTCCCACAGCTTCCTCACTGGTCTTCTTGATTTTCATAGCAGCTTGAGACAGTTCTTTCTAATAACACAAATCTGACCATGTTACCCCTTCCTTGGAACCCTTACTATTTCCTCGCTGTCCTCAGAATATACTCAACTCTTCAACATTCCTACAAGGCTCACTGTGGACAGGCCCCTGTAGGCATTTCTAGCCTCACCTGCCATCCATTGAACTCCAAGCCACCCTGATCTATGAAATCTCATTCCCAGAATCTTCCATGTTCTTTGCCTGGACAAGTCCTGCTCATATTTCCAGACTCAGTTCAAATTTATCATCCCTTCTTAAAGGAGTTCCCCATAGAGAAGGCCATTTTTTTGCCCCAGGTCACACAACAAGCCAGCCAGTATTTGAATTCAGGTTCCAGAACCCTGTTATTAACCAGGTTTGATGTTAGCTCTCTCGAACACAGCCAGTGTTCCCGCTGGTATCTGAGCTTCAAAAGCAGACCCCACACCCCAGATGTGTATAGCCTGGTGTTCAGCACAAGGCCAGACATGGTGTCTAATTATTGCCACATTGTGCTGGGGAAGGGGATAAAAGACTAGCAGAGGCCATGCTCAGGTTTTCACATGGTGCAGAGGATGGGCCAGAAACTGGGAATCCTACCTGCCTGATTAATAGCAGGAAACTAGTCTATGAGGATACCCTCCTCAGAAGGAGATGTGCCCTGACATAGCATCTCCTGGCCCTTACCAGATGCAAAGCAGGAAATGCAGAGGACAAAGTACGTGTGTATTCTGACTGCTGAAACTTAGAAATCCTGCCACCAAACCACTTAGGATGCTAAGGGGCTAATGGCATAAGCCAGAGCCTCTGTCCACCACTGGGCCCTATGCTCAGACGGTCTCTGTGAGTCTGTCCCTTCATGAGTGCCCTGGGGCCAGGGTTATGCCTCCTCTAGTTCCCTGTCTGTACTCCACCCGTATCAGGAGGCCTTCTGCTCCTTTTCAGAGAAACTGGAGGCTCAGGACAGGACCCAAGCCTTACCATAGTTGTATGGCAGAGCAGGAGACCCCATGATGCTTCCAGAAGCCTGTGGCCAGGGAACAGACCACACCTGCCCATGCCCTGCCCAGCAGCAAGACTCTTCTTTGTGTCTACACGTGGCTCAGCAGCATCCCCCACACCCCCTCCTCATGCCTACGGCAGGAACTTGACTCAGGCTGTCCATCTGGGGAGCCTGGGGTTGGCGGTATCTAGGCTCTTGGGAAACAACTTTGTCTTCTGTGAAACTGCCAGAGGAAAAGGCAGTTGACAACTGCTTCCCTTCTCCCTTCTTCATCCCCTCCCTACAAGACAAACCGATGGGGAATGAGCCTGAGTCCTGCTCTCTTGGGCTGCACACCTGTGCTGGAAGTATAACCCAGGTGACTGCTGGCCAGGTTTGATGAGTGGGGGACGCTGACCCAGGCACTGCCAGGGTGTCTCAAGGGGGACTGATGCAGATACTGGGTCGCTCACATACCCACCTCGGTCACGATGGTGGACAGGTAGATGTCCTGGTTGAACTCCCAGCCATCCAGGCAGCCCTCTTGCTCCAGCTGCTCCAGGTCCACGTCGCGCCCCGGCTCCAGCCCGAGCGCCGAGAAGTTGACGATCGTCGCGAGCCGGTAGCGGCGGCACCTGTGAGGCACCTTGCGGCCGTCCTGCAGCTGCAGCGGGAGGCTGTGGTTGCGCCACACGCTGCTCAGGTTCGCTGTGTCCGGCACCCGACAGTGGTGCTCCGGGGTCCCCGCCAGGAACACGACTGACATACCGTTGAAGCCGTTGGGGATGATGCTGGCGCTGAGCAGGAAGAAGATGAGGCGCTGGAAGAGCCCCCACTCGCCCAGGAAGGCAGTCACCTCGTCGTAGTCCTGCATGCTCCCCGCCGCTGCTCTGCAGTTGGCAACGAGGGATGATAAGAGCGTTCCCTGGACAGTGTCGCGCGGTGGAAGGCGTTCCCCGGGGGCGTCAGAACGTTCTCGCGGGCCAGGCCGGCTGAGGGAAAGCGAGGCGCGCGGCCTGCACCGTTTCCAGGAAACGGGCTGCGGGCGTTGGAAGGTTCCTGGGAGCTGGACGCAAAGCTGGAAGCCACGGTAGAAACTCGGGACCACACCCCGATCCCGGTTGGGGCGGGGCAGGGCGAGGCAGCGGGCTGGATGGGGTGGGGCTCCGGGGCAGCTCCGCCCGTGCTCTGCTCCTCGCCCCCGGCGACCCCGCCAGACACCCCGCTGAGGCTAGGAGGTCAGCGGTGCCGCCTCCGTACGGAAAATAGGCCCAGTTCCCGCGCCCCATCCCCGGCCCCCGCGCCCCCTAGGTGCTGAGCGCCCAGCCCCAGGCTGCCGGGTAGGGCCTCACGGGCGAGCGGGCGAATGGGAAGAGTCGAGGCCGCAGAGCAAGGTCTTTGAGAGGTCGGGCCTCGACCCTGGCTGTCGGCGTCGCCACAGACCTCGTCCCGGGCAGGGGTCCTCTGCCGCTTCCAGCCCGAAGGGGAGGGCCTCGGGCGGGGCGCTGACGGGCGAGTGCGTGGGGCCTATGCTCTGCGGGCGCAGGGGCGACAGGAGCGCGCTCTCTCCTCTGGCCCGCCGCAGCGCAAGTGGCCGGCGCCCGCCCACCCGGCGCTCATCAACCCCCAAGCTGGATTCAGTCACCTGCCGGCGGCTTCGGGACAGCCCGGAAAAGGGGGAAACAGGGATGATCAAGATCGCGGTGCGTCAGAGACAAGCTCGGACTGAGGGGAGGTGGGGAGCAAGGACTACCGGGTCGTCCCAGAATCCTTTTGGGGCCTCTGGAGAACATACTACACGGAGCTTGGTCCTTCGTGAGAGCACGGTAATGGAGGCCCAGCTGTCACTACTCCTGGGCTCTGATTTTGATGCCCTGGGGCTCTTCATCGAGGCTGGCTGCCAGAGTCTTCTTGGACTGGAGGCCTCAAGTTTGCAGAAGGGGCACCCCATGGTCCGGTAACAGAGGGAGGGAGGAAGGGAGGAGGAGAAGGTCCAGTTTGCCGCCCAGTTCTGGCAGGGTAACCAGAGCAGGGACCAGTCTGCTCGTGTCCAGGCTTAAGGTCCCTCTGCTGTTGTGTGAGCTAGCCTGGGCCTGCAGTGGGAGTCCTGGGGTTCCTGAGGCACATGTGATTGACAGGCTGAGGGCCCATCTCTTTGGAGATTTTGTACAAGTGTGTTTGCTTCTCCAGGCCCTGGTTAAGAGGTGGGAGACGTTTCTGCCTCATTTTTTGTAGCCTCCAGTCTACAGGGAGAGGGGCTTCCTACCCCCTTGGAACCTCAGTTTCCTTATGTTTAATAAGACCATATGTCTAGATGTGCCAGGACAGCTGTGATTTATGCCTATTAGTCCAGTAGAATTGTTAATAGCGTTTCCCTTTCCTTTCACAAGAATCCTTCTTTGAACAATATTTCCTGTGGTCATTGTCTTACTTAGCTTAGATTTCAGCCTCCCCTGTCCCCCAATAAAAAATCAAAGCCTGAGATAAGAATTTATGTGGAGATCATTTATTTATAGTAGTGATCCCAAGGAAGAGAGTGAAGGACTAGGTAGAGTGAACAGGGAAGGAGGTAAGGCTGACACAAGACTGTGTAATTGAACTGGTCATTGGTACTGACCAGGATCAGTGACAGTGATGTGCTGTGACATTAGAGCTTGAGACCAAAGGAAAAAATTAGTAATAACTGATTGTATCTTAAAATTTTGATGTTTTGTTCATCATGGATTTTTATATTAGTTTTGATTTTTAAAAATACTGTGTTAAAATATTATTTATCTTGATTATTGAATTTCTTGGCACCCCCTTAAATTTTGCACCTGAGGCAAGTGCCTCACTCTTTTTACTTGCCTTAGCTTTTTCCCAACCCTAATTGCTGTGGGTAATTGGGATTTGATCCAGCTGGGACCTTCTAAAGAGCCTTAGAGAATGAAGAGGCATTTGTTTACTAGTTCTGGCTCCACTGGTCGACTCCCCTGCACTTTCAGGGTGTACATGTATGAGAGCCAGCAGGTACCACTTCACAAAACTGTTTGCCATAGCCCATGAGTATATGTAAGTCCATACCTTGAACTACTACTCCTGCCATACAAAATGAATGCCCAAGTACACTGCTTATAGCTGGACCATTGGGAGGATTTCCCTTCACCATTGTCCTTTAGGGCCACTCCTAAGTGGGGCTATGTTGCAGTAAACAATCCAGTTTTTGGCTGATAGCACCTGTGAGACAGGGCTGAGTATTTTTTTCCCTCTATCAGTTGGTTATAGAGAACCACCCCCATAAGACCATAGGTTTGAGTTGAGGGAGAAGTGTTGGTATAGCTGAGGTGTAGGTGTCATGGAGTCTGAGCCACCTGTTCATTAACTTACCTGAACTGTATGGACCTGCTCAATCCTGATCCTGACTCTACCATTTCTATTATATGATGGATTGCTTATGTGCCTGCTTAATCTTATGACTTGATAGAATTTGACAATAACTAGCTCTTACTGGATATTTCTAGTTGCATAGACCCTTGATGTCCCATTGTCAGGTATAGCCAAATAGCTGCTTTTCAAAAGGCAAATAGCTCCCTGCTACAGAAGGCATGACCTTGCTCTGGCACCCTAGAGATCTTACTGAAACTCTTTTATTATGGCTTATCAGAGACTCTACCCAGCATCCTTATCACCATGAACATCTCTAGCAACATTGATTCTGCTGGGTCATGTGGACCAAATGGCAGGGAACCTTGTACTATAGTTGGACACATTGTAGAGCTCTCTCTTGCTCTGGGCTTCACTCAAAGGTGGGAGCCTTCCAAGGCACCCATTAAATGGGTTAGAGCAGTATTCTCACCAAGCACTATGTCTTTTTATTAGTGGTAGAGGGTACAGGGTACAACAACTTGCCTTTACATTACAGAGGATGGCCTGGCATGCTTCAGACTACTGGATCCCTAATAACTTCACCAATTGGCTTCAAAATAACATGGGGCTTCCCTGGTGGCGCAGTGGTTGAGAGTCCACCTGCCGATGCAGGGGACACGGGTTCATGCCCCGGTCTGGGAAGATCCCACATGCCGCGGAGCCACGGCTGCTGAGCCTGCGCGTCTGGAGCCTGTGCTCCGTGGCAGGAGGGGCCACAGCAGTGAGAGGCCCACGTACCGCAAAAACAAAAACAAAATAATATGGAATGAAAGAAGTGGGTGAGGATATAGATGAAATAAGATTGGCCATAATATTGGTCCTAGGGTTTCATTTTACTACTTTGTCAACTTTTATATACATTTAACTCACTCTGGAACAAAAAGGTAAAAAAACCTTCACCAGCATGGAAGGCCCTCAATCATACTTTTTATCTCCCATCTTCTGGTATGAATGTGTCTTACTAGGACATCTGCTCACTAGGATATGATATATTAGCATTATGTCATCAGTACAGTGGACCATCATGATGTTCTATGGAATATCAAGACAAAGTCACTAAATACTATATTGTGACAGAGAGCCGGAGAATTAACATAACCTAAGGGCAAGACAGTGATATGTACTGCTATTCATCCCACATAAAAAAAGCTTTTGATCCTCCATACTGAGGGATATAAAGAAGAAAACCTTTGATGTTGGTGCTAATCTCTGTAATTCCTCCAAGGAGGTGGCTTTACTTCTGATGTAATAAATTGGTCAAAAATGTGGGTGTGTTAGAGGCTTCTGTTTGGTCCTTCCTACCATAATTTCTCTTATTTAATAGGACAGGGAGTAAATGTTAGGGTCTTGCCAGCTGCTAAGTGTATCTCTCCTAGGTATGCACTTAGGGACCAGGGAACTACTAAAGATCCAGTGTGGATCTTTAAATCCACTAGACTTGCTTGCAGGAGAACTCCACTTACCACCTGGCTTTCGTGAGCCCCCAGTATAACTGGGGGACCCTAATGGTGCTTCCTGTCCATTAGTATCAGGGCCAGCTCATACTCTGTATCCAACAGCTCTTGACAGCTCTGGGTCTTTCCCTTTCCTCAGGCCAGAGTTACTCAGGTTAAAGGCCACTGCTATGGACTGAATTGCGTCCCCCCCCCCCCCCCGCCCCGCCAAATTCATATGTTAAAGCCCTAACCTCCAGTGTGGAAGTATGGTTGGAGATGGGGCCTTTGGGAAATAATTAGGTTTAGATTAGATCATGAGGGTGGGGTTTTCATGATGGGATAGTGCCCTTATGAGAAGGGACACCAGAGAGATATCAACAAGCCAGGAAAAAGACTCTCACAGGAACTGAATTGGCCAGCACTTGATCTTGGACTTTCCAGCCTTCAGAATTGTGAGAAATAAATTTCTATTGTTTAAGCAACCCAGTCTGTGGTATTTTGTTATAGCAGCCTGAGTAGTCTGAGATAGCCACAGATCCCTTACAGAGAAAGATTGGGGAAGTAATTATCATAAATACTTTTAGCAGTATAGGAGGGTTCTTCCTTAAAGAGACTTGGACTCCTTTTCAATTAATAGGCTCTGAGCTCGTGAACTGGCCTGGATCTGGGAAATTTATGAGGAAACACTATTTTCCATTGTAGCAGTTGTCATCAGCCTTCTGATCACTAGCTCTTCCTTTTGGGGGTGAGGTTGTTATATAAGTCAAGTAATAGTCATCTGCCCATTTATTTAACTCCTAGGAAAAGCATGGTGTATTAGCCATCACCACAGATCCCATGGGTTGAAGCCCTCTGGTTGCCCCTTTGGTCTGTAATTACATCCACCCTGCCTCTGTTGTTTAAGTGTCACCATCCAGCCTCTGCTATTCTAGAATCCTACCATCCCCACTAACACTAGAGATCCACACCTGTGCATTTTGTATTGCCTTAGTGAAGGGAGTGTCTGATGAACTTGGCTTGGGAATATAATCCGGTGATAGGTTCTCTGGTCTTGCGTGTTAAAAACAATCTAACATTCTCACTCCCCTGGGCCTTCTGACTCCTTTGATACTGTCAAGAAAGCTCTGGCATTTCCACCTCATTTCCATAGGCCATAATTGTATCCAAGTACTAAAGAGCCATCTCAGAAGCTTATGAAGATGGTTTTATGTATCCTTGCTTGGATGTTAAACCCAGCGTAATGAGAGAATGCTTCCAGATTAGTAAATTCCCACACATTTTACCCCTGTTCCTACCAGAATATAGGTCCTGTCATTTTTTCAATATATATGCTATTTCCTTGTGGATCAGGGACTGTACTTCCCCACTTAGGCTATGCTGAAACCTAATTCTAGTATAGAGACCATGAGGGGAGGTAGGGAGGATCCGGAGGAGGATAGGCGTCACCTCTGGAGCCACTTGCCTTAGGAGGAGTCTTGGCAGGGATTCCAGTCAAGGAAAGGCTACTCTCCTGTAGTATGGGGAAGAGAGCTGCTGCTGCTGGCCTTGAAGGTTTGGGGGAATCCAGGAATTAAAAATTCTCAATTAACTGACCCAAATGTCCCTGTTCCATGTTCCAGGGTTCCGTGTATTTTGTATCAGGGCCATGACTTTGTCATAGACCTAACAAAGCTGTGCATGCAGCCTTTTGTTGTAGCTCTCCTACCCTTATAGTTAAATCAATTAAATAAGCCCTGGGTTTGATTTCCAACACAGTCTGTCCTGTGGCTGCAGGAGATAAAGGTCTCTTTAAAAGCTTCTATGGAGGCCTCCTGGCTTTCACAGTGTACTTTGAGTTTAGAGTTGGCTGACCTGGGACTATCATTTCTTTTTTCAAGGCTTCTAAAGCACT